GCCGCTGCTGCCGAACGACTCTTACGCACGGCAGCAACATGTTGCTCGCAATTGGTTTCGGCAACCGTGGGGCGTCTTGGGCCAACGTAGCACTATTAAATGCAAATCCAGTCAGTTGTCTTAATTGCGTTTCTTGAATTTATTCGCCATAAAATATGAATTATTTGCCCCACTGTACGGTGGCAGCGGTGGAACGCCTTTCGCTCGCCTTGAATGGCTAATTGCAGTTGCTGTTGCCGCCGTTGCCGCTGTTGCTGTTGCTTGTCGGTGTTGGGTATCCATTATAATACCAAACAATTAGTGCAATTTAATTAAAATTACAGCAGTAGCAACAATAGCAACTGCAAGTCATAGAGCGGCGGACTAGGCGATGACCTGGCCCGTCACTCAAGAAGCGATCGCAACTCCCACTCCCAGATGAAGTGGAAAGCCGAAGCCGAGCCAACAGCCATCATCAATTAGGTTCGTACAGAAATTCCGGGCCAATGGAGGCGCCAAAGGTTCGATGCTTTGGTGTGCCCCACTGTGCGCGACATTCGAGGGCCGCGGGTATTTATTAATTAGTTTTGTGTGTTTTTTCGACTCTAAATTCCATTCTCCAAGCTGCCCGGCCTAATCTCCTTCGATTTATTTGTTTCAAGTTCTAATTTATCTCGTGTCTGTTGCTGTTTGTTGATTCGCTTTGACTTGGGTGTGGGTTTTTATGGGCCACACCTAATGTGTGCGGCGCAAAACTTGTCAGGCAATTGTATAAACGGTTATCCACTTATCTGATTGCAAACCGAGCTTTGAGGCTCGAGGTTCGGGGTTCGCATCTCACGGATACTCTCTCGACCGGGCACGTTTCGTAATCAACATTTTGACATAATAAGAGCGGCTCGCTTTTCGCTTTTCGTTTTTCGGGACCCCGGACCCTGGGTGTAATTACAACACGTAATATGCGTAATATTCACAGCATAAAATGTAAATGGGGCACCAGAGAGAAATGGTGCCGAAGGATGGGCCAAAAATGGTTGTGGCATGAATCAAACCGACTGATGATGATGTTAATGCTGCATGTTACTTCTTCCAGTCTGTGGGTGCGTGGGAATTCGATTCGCCCGACTTTTCGATACGGTTCATCAAGGAAATTTCCCAGAGCAGCCGACCCCCTTTTCACCCTTCGACTTTTACTTCCACTTCGACTTGGGGTTAATCCCACTTGGAGCCGTAAAGTAATAGAGTCTCAGTCGATTCACACACGATTCACAGACAATCCATCTATGGCTGCGACAGTTTTAATCGCGGTTTGATGTCGCTAATGCACTTTCTTGGCCGGAGGGTTGTTGCCCATGGTGGGGGAAAGCGGTGCCATGTGGAAAGCCATATGTTGTGTTGTGTTGTGCTATGTGTGAGAAAATTTTCCCTCTTTTCCACGGTTTTTGCGGCCAGGGGCAGCTATTTATAGAGAGAGCAAAGAGATGCGTGTGAAGCTGACGGTTTTTCCTTTGGGGGAAAAGAACCATGGCGACACTTCCCCAACCCGCTTAGAAACGCATCAGCATCAGCATCAATTTCATTTATTTGCCACTTGTGGCAGCAGCAGCACCACCACCACAACAATCCCAATTATTCAATTGATTCCGACATGGTGAAAGGGAGAACAACGTGTCCATTTGTTGACATTGTCGCCGCGTGAACAACTACAAAAAAAAGAGTAAAAAAAGGAATGCTTAAATGCTTGAATCTTTGTCGGAATTGTGGCAGCGGAAACAGGCAATTTCACTGCAATTGCAACTGTGCAACAGTGACAGCCAAAGCGATATACATATAATATATGCATATGGAGTTTGACTAGGAAATGCAATTGCTACTCCACATCCGGGAAGTGGCTTTGCTTTGCTCTACATTTCAATTAGCGCCTCTCGCCAACTCGCAGTCGCATATAGTCACACCCACACCCACAGAGCAATTCGCATAATCGCCGGCAATTGCCTTCAATTTGCGGGCTCAAGTGCGCGCAGCCACAAGATACAGATACTCTGTCTCAGAATTAATGATTTGCTTTGTCAGGCTCGGTCGCCGTCGGTTGACAAATGCGTTTCAATTGTTTGACCAGCTGCCGAAGGAAAACGCTTTTGGATATGCGCAGGCGCAAAGATTCTTAAAATGTGATTCATTCAGATGCACAACAAAAAAATATCTTGTGTAAAAATAGCTGAAAATCCTGATATAAAATAGTAAATAATATCTGTAATTTCTACTAAAAAAGATAAATCATGTGGCTTAGCTGCAATGGTTTTTTATTTTTTTTTTTTTCAAAGAAAAACCATATGGGTACTTATATCTATGTATTTTTTATAATTTGTATTATTATTAATATTGTTATTAACACGCAGATATGTAAATCATCTGGGCTATGAATTGTTTCTTAAAAAGCTCAGTTTTTCTCAATGTGCAGTCCAAGTGGATAGCATCGAAAACTGCATTCGAGTGGGAAGATTAATTTCCCTTTTAGCTCTCGCTGCAGCCAGCAGTCGCATTGTGGAATGCCTCCGTTAATGAGGCAAACATTTTGGTTGATTTAAGTGGTCGGACCGCTGCTTAATGTAAATATCTTGTTGGCTGCCCCCACAGACAACATGACACATTGATTTGTATCAATCCGCGAAACTCGAGACCCGAGAGATACTTTCTGCTGCTCGAACAGATGACAGCTGACTTATTGCTAATTGCAGCAGATCCCTCAGACGACTGACTGCCTCTTATTTTAAAAAGGAGAGAAGTCGAGAAGTCGAAAAACAAAAACAAAACCAGAAACCGAAACCGAAGCCGAATGAAATCAGTTCGTCATCGTCGTCGTCTGTCGAGGTTTTTGGCGATCGCTTATCTTTGGCCGGCTGTCAAAATACTTTTAGCGCGGCCTGTTCGTTACTAAGTTGCCTGCCGCTCTTAATGCGAAATCTATTAAGCCCGCATCCCGAACGGCCTGCAACTCCAGATATATCTCCTTTGGCCGACTTGAAGTGCCCCGTCAATCATTTTTTATTGTGGCTCCAGACATAAACTCATTTCGCCTGCAATGTGGAATGACGACGCAGCCGCCAACGCCCCGCCAGCGGGTTTATTTTTTTTATTTTTTTAGTGGGTGAAAGGGGTTAAGTGTGGGTCGGTGCGGGCGGGTGGGTTAAAGAAAGAGCTTCGCCCAGCTGGCGAACTGATCGAAATCTGCCCACATCAGCAGCAACAACATCCGATATATAGTGTAGCCCAAGCTATATGGAAAGAGCAGCTGCAGCAGCAGCGCGAATAATTGGAAAAACGGCTATGGAAATAAACTCAAGTTTGCACTCGTTTCGCATTTCAATTTTTCTCGGCCAACGGCCACACATTCGAATGCACTGGGAGAAAATGTTAAGATATTCTTTGATATTACTTATGTCTTTTAAGTATGAGTAATTGGAATTTCAGATATATCTAATTGCTTAAATGGGGTTTCAAAAACATAGTTACACAAGCATTTGAATTTTGGCTTTACATTTAAAATTATATGTGATTTTAAAACAATATTTTTTTTAATTTAAAAAAATACCTTATCTTTCTTAAGAATTTAAGAATAAATAATTTTTTTAAGTGAAGTGCAATCCGATGCAGAGATAAACAAAGAAATCGAGAGCCGGCAAACCCAAAACAAACAAACAAACAATTTTCGAAGCGGAGAAACTGGGAAAAGCCACCATCAGCGATCCCCGAATCGATAACCCGAATCGAAAGAACCGCCGAATGAAAACATTTTCATAAATGCCAAAGAAATCAGAGAGGGGAGTGGGGGGATAGCGTTAATTAAACGACAACGAACATAAACTAGCGGCAAGATTTCAATTTGGAAAACAGGGAAAGCAGCTGCCTCCGGTGAAGTCGGAAAAGGGGGAATGGGTTTTGTGTGCTCTGTGCATAATTAAGCAAATTAAACGCGCATTTTTATGCGTCACGAAGCAGCCAAACGCTCAAGTAGGGGGAAATATAGAGGGGGATATAGTTTAGAGGGAGGAACTGGGAAGTCGCTGCCTTTTCGCACAGGTATCGCATGTGGCAGCCACAACAGCAGCAGCAGCAGCAAAAGCAGCAGCAGCAGAAGTCGTAGACAACGGCAGCCACATCGTCCAGGCAGCCGGCAATTTATGAATGCCAGACCAAAGGAGTAGCATCCACCATCCGAGTACCACACACAATCCACCTCCAGTCGCGGCTTATGCAATAAAAATTATATTAAATTACCCAACCGACTAGCAGCAGCGACAAGCAAAGACAAAACAAGCCAATCCTCCAGTCCTCCAAGATTCGATTCGATTTTATTGAATACTTACGAGCTCAACGAAAGTCGCAAAAGCACTAAGAAATACGTTTGGTTGGTCGAAGATGAGGATGCTCTTCGGGTAAATTAATTGAAATATAAAGCAAGATTAGGTACATGATGCACTTAATGGCTGATGTCTTATTAAATTGAAGCCATAAACGAAAATTAAAGATGCTTTATTATTGGTTTTCTTTTAAATAAGAAAATATATGAGACACATCAAGTTTTCCCGTGCTTAAATGGTAAATTCTTAGTTTAATCGGTTGCAACAATAAAGTATCATACTTTTTAAACTCGATGCTGATTTAAATAAACAGAAAGGAATTCTGTAGTATGACTTGCAAATTTCTCCTTATCGAACCCCATTGGAATCCAAGCGAATTCCCTTGTAACCAATATCGCCCCAAAGACCAGGAATCCCCTCCGAAGAACAGGGAACCCCAGGCACCCAAGCCCCACGATAATGATGGCCAGCTCGGACCTTTCAGCTGCCGCTTAATGCCATCATTAGTCCACCGTGGGCTACCGGATATGGCTGATCGTTTGTCACTATAAAAACTGCAGCTGCAGTCGCGGACTGGCGATCTTTATCTGGCTTTACTTTTGCCTCCGACCCCGACTCCGCCGGTAATTGCAATCTAAATTAGTGCACTTTTTATGCGACTTAACGGAAACAGCCTTGAGAGGGGCCACATGCACATGCATATGCTTTATTGTCTCAACAAATCGATTTGGATGGGCACTAATACCTAAGATCCAGAAACACAGGAACTGCGAACTCCATAAATGACATCGTTGGCTTCAGGCAGCTTGCAAACTTTTCCCGTGGCAGGGCGATTAAGTCGGTGGGAGAGCACTTTCAGATCAATATTCTTAACCCGAACCATCAAAGTGGGTTCCTTTTCCACCGCACGGCAGACCACGGTCTTCTGGCAATTTTGCGGAGGCAAACCAGCCAACATTGGGATGTGCCTCACTGGGGCATCGGGGAAAACGCCCATGTTTTGGGGACCCACATCGACACCAACATTGGGACTGTTGCAGGATAAGCAACATATTCCAGTATTGATGAATCCTGCAGCTCTGGGACAGGCATCCTTCTCCTCAATCAATTTCAAACGACGGTCGATGTCATCGAAACGATCTCGAATGTACTTCTTCAAAGCAGGCATGTGTACCTTGTCCAGTTTGCTGTCCAGCATATCCTGCAGTTCCTCCATGGTTCCCAGGAAAGTCAGGTTGTATTCCTGCACCAAAGATCTCAGGTTTTCGATTTCCACCACACATTGCTTGACCAGTTCCAGTCGCTTGAAGAGCGCCTCAGTTTGCTTGAGGAAAGCCTGAAGAGTGACGTAGAACTTCTCCAGCTTCCTGCTGACCTCCTCCATTTGGTCCATAATCGGAGTGGCTATACGTCGCATTAACTTCTTCATAAAATCCACGTTGGCCAATAGACTACAGGCTATTTTGTTGTCCTCATCGCAAACGGTGCAGAGATCCTCGCAGGGGGAGGCATACCGTTCGGCTGCGTGAACCCTGTACTGTTTGTCCTTGTTCCTGTTGCAAATGCGAATCTGCTGGAAGTGGCACTCCAATTTGCACTCCAGCTGTTTGATGCGCTTCTCCATTTCCTCGACTTTGTCCAGCTGCTCGGAAATGGGCAGGACAGCCTCCTCATTGAAGGGAAGTGGGGATATTTTCGACTGCTGCAGGATTCGCTCCATGCACTTGCCCTCAAAGCCACTGATTGTAACCACGTCATTTTGGCAGTTCAGCTTCTTGAGCAGGATATTCAGGAGACTGTGGAGCACCGCCACATTTACGTGGGTTAATTCTGGTACTCCCAAGGCCACCCTAGTCATCTCCTCAAGGGTTAAGTTCACATGAGCCGGCATTATGGAATGTGTTAGTTACTTTAAATATTCTCAAATAATTTACAACTAAGGAATAACTCTCCTATAGGTTTCCACTTGTATACTATGTTAATGTGTTCGATCCTTATTTTCAGGTGGTTCTGTCACTTTGACGATGACAACTATGTCAATGTGCCGCGATTGGTGAAACTGCTGGACGAGTATAGTCCCAGTGTGGATTGGTATCTGGGCAAGCCGAGCATCTCATCGCCGCTGGAGATCCATTTGGACAGCGTAAGTGCAAATGCCTGTTATTTCTGCATATTTTTCCTATATAGTTCGTAATTACAAGCCCCACTGCGATCGCCTTTCTCCATCTTTTTGCTGGCCCGTCCCGAAAACGGAGTGGAGCGGAGTGTAGCCGTTATTTATGTGGCCAGCATGGCCATTTGTCTATGCCGCCATTTGGCTTCCAGCTGCCAGCGCAAGCTATCATTAATAACCGATATGATCTGGCGCGGCAATAGGAATAGCATAGCATAAGCAAAAGCAATAGCAACAAAAAAACCTGAAGTAGAAACAGCAGCAGAGAGCAGCCAGCAGCCAGCAGCCTGAATCTGAGTCCCAGTTTGAGTCCGAATTTGAACCCGTTTTCCAGTCCAGGCCATTTGAAATATCGCCAGCTGATCCCGTAATGAATGTGCAGCCCATAGTTTTATCGGCTTAGCCAGTTGCCAGGGCTGTGAGCCAATGAAAAAAAATTAAATATAAACAGGTAGACTTTGGGGCCAAACCCATTCAGAAACTGGCACAGCAATCCAACCCTGATCGCAGCAGCGTGCATAATTAAAAAACCCCAAACTTTACGCTTCATTTGCGGGAGAAAGATCCTGTCAAGTCTCGACTTACGCTTTGGCCAGACCCATGTATTAAGTTTCCAACTCGCACATGTCCATTTACATGGTCAATTAATCAGGCCACGTTTCGGGTTTTAGCCTGGCCTGAACGATTTTTTATTTTGTTAATTTCGAGTCAATTTTCTGTGGGCCATTGCCAAAAACCAGAAATAAGATCGAAAAAATGGATATTTATTTGAGTTTATCCTTTGGTTCGGCCATCCTCTTTATGTTTTTTTTTTGGTTTTTTGGGACCCATTCATGAGCCAGTTCTTCCGTTAATCTCGAACCTCTTTTTGCTCTCTTTCGACCTGCAGAAGAACACGACGACCAACAAGAAGATAACCTTCTGGTTTGCCACTGGCGGCGCTGGCTTCTGTCTTAGCCGGGCCCTCACTCTCAAAATGCTGCCCATAGCAGGTGGCGGCAAGTTCACCAGCATCGGCGACAAGATACGCTTTCCGGATGACGTCACAATGGGTTTTATAATAGGTAATATTCCCATATGAGATCTTGAAGAAACTGAATCTTTAACAACTGATTTTAACCTTCACAGAACACCTATTAAAAGTACCCTTGACTGTGGTGGACAACTTCCACTCGCACTTGGAGCCCATGGAGTTCATTCGCCAGGATACGTTCCAGGATCAGGTGTCCTTCAGCTATGCCCACATGAAGAACCAGTGGAACGTGATCAAGGTGGACGGCTTCGATCTCAAGACCGATCCCAAGCGATTCTACTCCCTGCACTGCCAGCTCTTCCCCTACTTCAGCTTCTGTCCGCCCAGATAGAAGGGGTTGTCCCTATCGAGGATCCCCTGTCGCAAAAGGATCCCCTTTGGCTGTTGCAGGCGCACGTCTGCGCTGGATCGGTTGTGAACCGATGGGGCAGGCGTCAAAAACAAATCTCGCCACTGTGATCTAAGATTAAGTGTATGGTATACGAGTAACGAAAGGTTCTTTGTATGTATATATAGATATATAGTATAGACAGATGTGCTTCCTAATGGTCTAAGTTTTACTGTAGCTATAGCTCTCGCAATTCCAACACACTTCCAAGTGCTTCCCTATAGCGATACACGGATTCTTCCACTTAGCGCGTAGTTAAATTAATGGTCTAGTCTACGTTTAAGTTATCTTAGCTCCAGAGAGACACCGCTTCACCCTCTGCTGTGTAATACTGTAATGCAGTCTAATATTGGCCTAAACACTAGCACTGTGCATGTAAATAGTAGCCCTAAATAACTAAGGAATGTTTAAACCATTTTGTTAATTTTTAGTTTGCTTGAATAAAAACTGAATATTTTATTAAAAGCTTTATTTGCTACATTTCTTGGTTGGCTAAATACAAAATTCTTTGAAAGCAATAACTCCACCGGAATCCAATTAAATTGAGTAAAGCATTCAAACGGACTTTAACTGGATCAATAAAATGGTAAATTAACTGGCGCACAATTGGCTTTTAAAATCCCCTTTCACATGAATAATGCTGGCCATTTAAAATGCGAAAAAACTGCGCATTTGCCAGGCATTTAAGAATGCAAATCTCCGTCGAGGGTCCTTGAACTTCGATGTTTTCGACTTGTTAGCCCATCGATGCTGCTGCGGTTGGCCGGCTTATCGGTTTCGTGTCACCGAACATTCTGTCTACTTGTTGTTCGGCCAACTTCAGCTTCCTGTTGTCGTCTCGTCCGCATTTTGCATTTTTTTTTTTTGTTGTTGCGAAAATTCGTTGTTAATTAACGCTAAAAGCCATGTTTAAGCCGCTAAAGCGTTAACTTTCCGGCGATATGGATCAGCGGAGCAGACTCTTTCGAGCGGGGAGACAGGACAACGAGTGGGCCAAAAGGTAGATAGATAGACATTGACATGTCCACGTCCACGTCGATGCCCGACGATGTCCATGTCCATGTCCTGAGTGGAGACAATGCTCTCCTGCCGACGGAGGATGTTGAGGGTGCCTCACGATACGGCATCTCGGCTCCAATGACATGTTGCGAATTTTTATAAAAGACTCACTCGACGGCAGCTGGATACCCGCCGAATACCCCCGTCCCGATGTCCTGACTCTCGTGATATGTTAAACAGTTCTGGGCAATTATTTTTTACCTTTCGGCCGCCGAGGCAGCACGGCTCTGTATCCAGTTTTTAGTTGGCTTATATGCAGATAATCAGTTTTTAGTCCATGTCGGGGCTCAGTTTGGGGCGCGCTTTAATGAATGAAAGCTGCCGGGATGTGGAAGTGGAAGTGGATGTGGAGGGAACCCAAAGCGACTCCGTCTCCGTCGTCTGCCTGTCTGTCTGGCAGGAGAACAAGGAGGAGCGAGTGGAGCTGCAACTGCAAGTTGGCTGCCTTGTTCGTTTTAATTGCAAGTGAAATCCTTGTCAGCGCTGTCGACCTGTCCGTCCGTCTGTCCGTCTTTCTGATCCGTCCGTTCGTCTGGAGTCGCAGCATCGATAATGAATTAATTATCATATATTAAAAGTCAGTTTGCAGCAGTTGCCCCCTGATAATCTGCTTGCCGGGGCACGCCTTTGCATATTTTACGGATCTCAGAATTTAATGAACTTCGGGCTCTGGAACCCAAAAAAAAAAAAAAAAAACAAAAGGAAAAAGTCTCCCCCAACTTTGGATTTGTGGCTCACGCATTTCTTCTCGGAGGTTGTTTTTTCTTCATCGGATTTTCATTCATCACTTCTAACCGCAAATGAAAAGATAAAGTCGTAACCGAAAATCCAGTGGCAGTAACAAAGGCAACCGAGTATTTTTCATCTCGAATTGGCGCCGCCCACGAATCAGAGTCAACAGCGGATGGGTTTCTTTTGTCCGAGAGCGTTTAATTTGCGGTTAGCTGCGGCCAAGTGATTCATTAGATACAAATTGTGGCGACTCCCCCGAGTCCGGCGGTTCCCATGCTCTCGATTTATGCAAAATCATAATTTTAATTGAATCTCTCGTCTGGTATTTGGGCAAAGGATTTGGCTTTCTCAACGGCAAGTGCTCGGCGCTGTAAGCCCTGTATTTTTAAGGGTCTTTGCCTCATGGCTCATTTGTATGCAGAGCAGGCGACGAGGCGCAAATTACACGAGAAAATGTCCGAAACAAGCTGATCGGCGATAAGGAACACAAAGTATCTCGTAGATGCGCAGTCTTCGCTGCGTATTCAGTCTACTTTTATGTGTATCCGAGCGATTGTTATCGTCTGCCCGTCCTGTCAACCTCGGGCTTTGCATTCAATTTTGGCTGCCAGCAAAATGCCTTGGAAAACTTAACCAACTCCACCGCCTCTCTCGGAATCTCGGCGAGCCTACAAACCGAACCGGTAGCAACCTTTTTCGGCCGCGAAGGCAAGCAAATAATTTGTCCGTCTGTCGCAGCGTCCTTCTGGCCTGCCAGTCTTTCGCCTGCCTGCCTGTCAGTCACTCAGCTAGTCCGCAAACTATAAATTAGTGCAGCAGCAGGAGCTCCCGGAGAGCTGCAGATGCCAGCGGAGTTGAAGCCCGAACTCGAGTTGGATATGAAGATGACGATGGAGCTGGAGAGCTCGGGTTTGGCAACCCATCGCAACACCCAAGTGTGCCAGCCCCTGAATTTATGTTGTGCATGCCAGCGATCGGGGCGTGGATGCGGAATGGGGCTCGCTATTCCAGCGGATGGCGTCGCCGTCCACGGAGTTCGGCATCAGCAACAGGTGAAACGAGCACCAGACTAGATCAACTGCAAGCCGAAGGAGAGTGCCAGAGTTGCAGGTACCCTGTAATTGAAAGGTATATGCAGGTAAAGTAAAAGAAACATTCATTTAGGATATATATTTTGTATCATTCAAGAATATTTCAACACTTGAATATATTACAGCTCCTATAAACACATCTTAACTAGGTCATTAAAATATCAATGTTTCTATCTATGAAGGGAATTTGAATTATCTTATCGCCTCTTTGGTTTAAATATTTAACTTACATTATTTGAAGTAAGAGTGATTATGGAACTTCTTGTTATTCCAGGGTATCTCCTACTTCACATACCCAACGCCACCGAGTGAAATATGCTTCCCTGTCTATAATTGGAAATGTGAGGCAGCGAAATGAACTGCAGTTGCTGCTGCCAACCCGCTCATAATTTAAAGCTGCCGCTGCAGTTTATGGCCCCAACTTGGTTAAATTATGTGGAGTCGGGCGGCTCTCTTCCAGGGGCTTCTTACATGGATTTTGCAGCGATCTCAGATAGCCAACAGATAGTTGCAGAGCACAGC